ATCCTCCCCCTCCCCTCGATGACGGTTTGACTGACACACAGGCTCCTGGCACAGACAGACACACACATGCACATCAGCCACTTTTTGCAAACACGCAAGCTGCGCATCGGAGCGGCCGGGAACCCGCGCGTCCGCAACCGATGAGGGCATTTCTCGTCCAGCCCGTCCAGGAACCAGTGTGACCCGGACGGAAAGGAGTTCGACCTGACAGGTACCCTCCACCGGCCAGCTCACTGCCCGATTCACCCCCCAACCCCCCACATCCTCCATCTGATCCAGTGTTTTTTTTTTTTTTTTTTTTTTTTTTTTTTTTTTTTTGCATTTTGCGCCTGTCTGTGTTGACTTGAGCGCATGCACGCACCGGAGCACGCGCCCAGCGTGCACACATCACGCCTGCAGAGTCATTCCATCCATTTAAGTTTCTGAGGTGTTGAGCAGAAAAGTGCTCGGAGGATGCTTCAAGTGGCTGCAGACACTGATCTCTGCCTGCTCACCTCAGCTGTGTTGCAGTAATCATCATGCAGTGTGTGTGTGTGTGTGTGTGTGTGTGTGTGTGTGTGTGTGTGTATGCGTGCAAGAATCATTTGTCTTCCTCTCTGCTTGTGTACACTCACTCTCATCTTTCACTGTGGTGGATACAGGCTGTCGTTATGCTCAGGTCTTAAGAGGAGGAGGAGGAGGAGGAGGAGGAGGAGGAGGAAGAAGTGGAGGGGGGGATTTTAACCCCTTTGCACCGAAGCTGGGCTGTCTGAGGAGGAGGCAGCCCAAACGCCGGGGCTGTAAACCCTCTCTGTCAGCGACGGCAGCAAAGTATTCAGCGAATAAATCGGATTTCCATTTCACAGGAGCCCTGCTCTCTCCTCTGTGTGTCCTCAGGATGGGGGGAGTCAGCGAGGGCGATGATGTGTTGGCTCGTTGGAGTGATGGACTGCTGTACCTCGGCAATGTGAAAAGAGTAAGCGGTGTGAAGCACACCTCGGAGAGCGCTCGTGTTGATCAGAGAGATGGGAGAAGGTTTTGTCAGTCATTCTGCTCACCTCTCCTCTCCTCTCCTCTCCTCTCCTCTCCTCTCCTCTCCTCTCCTCAGGTAGACGGAGTCAAACAGTGCTGTCTGGTGAGGTTTGAGGACAACTCAGAGTTCTGGGTACTGAGAAAGGATATTCACTCATGTAAGATAAACTTTCTTTTTTTTTTCCTCGAGCAGTTGGAAGCTTTTTTATAGCAGAACTTTAGTTTCATCAGATAAAACTCCTGAATATCTCCAGCTAAAGTCTCAGAAATCTTTTTAGTAACAAGTTGTATTTGTTGACCTCTTATTCTTTTCTCCACGGAGCCAGAAACCTTTAAGTGTGGTCTTTACCAATAGTTCTGAGTCTTAAAGGTTTTCTTTGGACCTTAAGCTGCTTTTCGTTCATTTTTAGTCCTGTTTGTGGATAAATGTGCATAAAAGAATAAAAAGAGTTGGAGGCGTTGGGAAAGGATCTATATTTAATGAGAAAACAAAAAATGCATTGTCGTTCAGGAATGTTTCGATCAAGATTCTTTGCGATATAGATCCAAGATATTTAAAATTAAGGATCAGCAGAGTCTCAGAGAGCAGTGATGGAGAACTTTTCTGTGCAGCTCAGGTACGCAGGATGTACCGTTCGTTCACCAGGGATGGGTCGGCCGTTCAGAGTGGAAAATTTAGTTCTGTAATCCTTTTCACCATTACTGTCCATCATCTCTGTAGAGTTTCTTTAAAAGACTTTCACAGACAACAAAAGCTGCACCAAAGTGCTGCAACCTGAAATACTCAAAAGATGGAAAACACTGAAAACAAAGAAGTAAAACGCAGGAAAACACAGAACATAAAGAAAATACATCAGGTTGTTATGCAGTGGCTCTTTACGATCAGATCTCATGGATGTGAAGGAGGAGAAAGTGCAAAATAATTGTCGATTTGTAAATAATCTGGAGTCAGAACATTAGGAGCCTTATAAACGAACAATAAAATGTTTGAACCAACAAACAGGAAGTCAGCGAAGTGAAGCCAACGTGGCGTTATCGTCTTGGCTCACGTTTTTCTGTTCCTGTTAAAAGTAGATCAGCAGAGTTCTGCACGGTCTGCAGAGACACAACTGATCCAAGCTCTTCTACCAGTTACAATAAAGACAAAGAGGTCATAAAGGCAGGAAGTATTTGATTAAAATAATGAAAGATACAGAGTGTTTAGATGTTTAAATAAATTGGTGACATTACAAAAACCCAGATCATAAATATAATGACTGAACTCAACTAAAAACACAGACATGTTGACTTGTTACATCATAACCGTCTACAGCAGATGTGGGATTAAAACCATAAAGATCTGCAGAACTCCAAAACCTGTTGATCAGGACCTGAGTCGCTCTGGTTTGAGACACTTTACTGAACTGATCGTTATTATAAATTAACTTCAACTAATGGGAATAAATGTCTTTGTGACAAACTAACAGATCTGATTTAAGATTCTTTGCTAAACGTGTTCATAACGTCACAGCACAGGTTCATCACTTTAGTTTAGCTTTTTTCAGATCAGAGTTATGATTTATGAAGTAAAACCTTGTAAAATGGTCAGGTACGAGGACTAAACATGAGTAAAAAGCAACCAAAGTCCAAAGAAAACTGAATTTGTAAGATTAAAACAGACTCTGACTGCTTGGTGGGATAATAATGAAATGAGGCGACTGCTGAAGACTTTTGCACTTTACTGTAAGTGCAGAAAATTGTAATAATTTGGAGTCTGGAGGAGTCTGTGAGTTCTCCTGGGTTAGTGCAGCACTGAATAAAACTGCTAAAAACATTATTTATGTTTAAATAAAAATGTTTAAAAACACTTTTCAGGCCAAATCAGTTTGATCCTAATCATTTATACACATTTTTTCAACCCAAACATGAATTATTTCTGTTTTTATGTTTTAACTCATTGTGCTTGGTGTTTTTTCTTTTCCAAATTCAAAATTTAAATCAAACAAATCCTAATTTTCTTTGTCTTGAGATCATTTGATCCTTGAAAACTGTAAAACCAGCTGAATCTAAAGATGCTGCAGAGCATTGTGAGCGTTCTGATCGTGTTCCGACTGCTGGATCAGAGTGTATTTATGAAATTATTAGAATAATGAGTCCTCAGGGAGACGGCTCCTGTTATGCAGCCCAACATGGAGTCATAAAGGGGGGGTTGGGACACTTGTTAGGACAGGATGAACGTCAGCACATCCAGTGAAGTGAAATCTGAAAGGTGCAGGAGACACTGAAATCAATGATGTGGCAGCGATGTGAATCAATATACATAAATTAATGCAGTTGACTGCTCTCTCTCTGTCTTCCTCTCACACATTTATTTCCTCCTCTCCCCTCCCCTCTGCCTCTCCTCTTGTCTTTTTTTTTTTCTGTGCTTCAGTCGCTGCCGGAGTGGAAGAAGTTTGCTGTATTTGTGACGCTCCGCCTCTTAAAGAACCCCTCGTAAATTGTCTTAAATGTCGGCACGGTAAGGAAAGCGCGCCTATCATAAGGCTGTCAAACTGCCTCTTCTCCGTCACTTCTCGTAGTGACCTTGAAGATGTGACACAGCGTGGTAAATAACAACACAGAGAGCGAGAGAGAATGAGACAGAGAGAGAGAGAGAGAGAGAGAGAGAGAGAGAGAGAGAGACGAGCATCATGAATGATCTATGAGCCGTTGCAGCGGAAATAAACAAGGCATCAAGAGACACGAGTCGTGGATTTAAATCATGCAAAAATGTCTTTATTGTCTCGGATGAGTTTGTGATTTCAAATCTTCAGACCTGCTTCGAAAAGGATTTAATATTAGACATCTGGTGAAGGATGATGCAAACACCTCGAATTAGAGAAATTCAGTCCTTTTCTACAAACTGAATTATAGATTACGTGACTTAAAATGCATCCAAACTGAGCTGTGTGCTTATTAACAGTAGAGCAGGGCTATTCAACTAAACTGCTCTGAGGGCCACAGTTACTGCAGGTCAACAGCTGAGGGGCCGAACATCCAGGAATTAAAGTCATGATGTAAATAAACCAAGTATTACAAACATCTGTTACCGTTTGAATTAGTTAATGTGCAGAACCCTGTGTAATAAAAGTAGTGTTATTAAAACGATATTAAAAAACACATTATGCCTCCTATTTAACAAAAATATTACTTTGACATCTCTGTCTTGCCATATTTTTGAATTTATTTTATTTTTACTTACCTTAATTTTATCTTTAACTGCTTGTAGTTTTAGGTGCCTTGATTGTTCATAGAAATGGTTTTTACCAGATTTTAGCCAAGATTCTGACGTTTCTGTAGATATCACACTAACAAGAACAAAAACAAACAAACAAAAAATGGGAGTTTGGGCTTAAGAGATGAATGAACCAATTGGCGGGCCGGATTTTGGTCAACAGCAGGCCTGATTGTGCCCGTGGGCCGCCAGTTGAATAACCCTGTAGATGGTTCTCATTGGGCTGGAAAAGATTCAAAACCATCAGTAAAGAGTTCAGAGCAAAAATTTGCATCATTTTAGTTGCAGCTCAATAAATAAATAAAAAAATGTGGTTTTCTGTTGGACACATACAGCTGCTGTTCTATGTGCATGAAGACTTTAAGTCGTGTAAATGAAACCAGCTCTTATGAGCTGTGTTTTAAAAATCAGAGCAAAATGTTTCCTCTCTAAATGATTTTAGAAATCATCCTTCGTGTGTCAGATTTTGCACAGTGAAGGCGACACATCCGGCAGAGAAAAACGTGTTTCTGAGCAGACAAATCACAAAACAGTTCAAATGAAACAAAAGGTTTTGGTGTGCAGGAAGAATTCAAGGTTTAAAACTGTGCAACAGCAGGATGCACAGGCAGGAAATAGTCCTTAAATTCTTTGCGAGTTTCTATCATCAGGAACACAAAACAGCAGCTTCTCACCTGCTAGAAGTCTCTCTAGATGTTTTGCATGTTTCTTAAACCAAGTGGGAAAGTACTGGAGCTGCCCTGTCATTACTGTCATCCTGGCTGCCTGTCTCGGGAGATGAATTAAATGCTCTGCCTCCTTCTCCTCCGTTACAGGTTATCATCCAGAGTGCCACACGCCAACCATCGAACCGGAAGCCGACAGCGATTCGTGGATCTGTCGACAGTGTGTCTTTGCAGTCGCAACCAAGGTCAGGCTGCTAATCTCTCTGTCTCACACTCAGAAAGGGAGAGAGAAAAAAAACCATTAGTCTGTAATAACGGAGAATTCCAGTCAAATATATCAGTGTGCAGAGTGTCACGTGTTTATCTGAGGCAGGCACACACTAATTCTCCCAGTGTTGACTTCAATATCAGACATTGTGTCAGAGAAATCGAGAACGATCGATAGTGATGAAGCTGGCGGAGCTGAGAGGAGCACATTTAAAGTCGATCCATCACACGTGTTCCATTTCTGTAGATATGAGAGAGGCGAGAAAGATCTCCGTTAATTACCAATCGCTCGGCGTCCAGCGCCGCTTTAGTCTTCCTCAAACCACATCTCACAGCGCTGACCTCCAATCAGATGAGACGAGGAGCTGTTTTCTTGTCAGATGTGATGTGTGTGCTGACAGGACGGTGATGTGACGTGAGGCTCTGTCCTGCGCTGTCTTTTTGCAGCGAGGCGGGGCTCTGAAACGAGGACGCTTCGCTCGCCTCATGCAGTTCATGAAGCTGAGAATCCCCTACCAGCTATCGTCTTTAGACTGGGACCCCCAGCATCTGACCAACCAGCAGCAGTGCTACTGCTACTGTGCCGGACCTGGAGAGTGAGTGAGGCCAGTTTTTCTTTTTACGTTTGTCTGTATGCTAATTATCTCGTGGATTATTTGTAAATTATCTGCGAGACATCAGATTTGGATCAAACAGGACCGGTGAAATGAAGATTTAAATTTTCTTTAATCATGTTTGTGTTTGGCTGCAGAAACTCGGGTTTTTAGTTATTTATACCAGTGGTTCCCAAAGTCTTTGACCATTAAAATACCAGAAAAAGAGACCTGAGCCCCCAACTGTTGTTGGATCATAAACATTGTTTTCACCTCAAAAAATGAGAGCATTTTAACAATATTCATTATGCTATTTTTGTCCATTTTAAGTACACTAACCTTACTCTTTTGTAACAACAAAGGCAAAAAAAATTTCATTGTTATTTTCCAATATAATTAATTCAGAAAATCTTTTCAGGACCCCACCTTGATGTTTTGGGATCCCATTCTGGGTCCTAACCCCAACTTTGGGAACCACTGGTTTTACTGTAATTCAAACAGGTGTTGCTTCCTGTTCTTAATGCTGGGTGTGTTTCTTCTCGTGCTGCAGGTGGAACCTGAAGATGCTGCAGTGTGGCAGCTGTGGGCAGTGGTTCCATGAAGCCTGCACTCAGTGTCTAACAAAACCACTGCTTTACGGCGACAGGTACGCTAGCACAGCAAAACTGAAAAATACCACATGAATTATAACTTTGAATTTATTAAACAGATTTTATTAGCTTGTTAGCTCTCAGAGTTTGTGTTAAAGATGCTTTTCAGCTTCTTCAATATGGTGCGGTACGAGGGCCAAAATTAAGACTATTGCACAACCAGCGGTTGCTACATTCTTGTAGGAGGCTATATCTATTCCTAAGACAGCTATTGATCTGATTAATAGGTCGGCGCCTCTGAGCAGCTGGCCCCGCTAACTGAGAGGCCGGCGCTGGCAAATGAGAAGGAGACTATTCATTTGTGTTAGCATCGGAGAGGCTAGCAACTAGCATGGATAAGCTGGTGTTAGCATTGGAAAACGTAGTGACAAGCCTCTCATTTCTCTTTCGGCTAACGAGAAAAAAAAACACTGCCGTTGACCAATAGACAAGGGCAAACACATCTGCTAATTCTGGTGGCAACTAGTCTGCTTCACAGTAATATGTTTTATATTTAATATTTATGTAAGGGTCACCTCGAGTGAAGAAACAAGATTTACTGCCTCGAAGCAGGCCTCGGACAGGCCTGACGAGAGGACTCGTCACAAACTGAACTCTATTTAGTCCATGACAGGTCATTCTAACCGTGGAAGAGAACCCCTCAGTTCTCTTAATCAGATAATGGACAGAACAATCTCTTCTGTTCGTGATTCATTTGTTGTTTAACTAAAAATGTTTATGCATTTGTTAAATCATGATAATATTGACATCATGTTGCACAGTAAGTTCTGTCTAAAGAAGACTTGTGAGCTCATGTCGCTTATAGGTTAATTTATCAAACATTTTTGTTGAGAAAGTTTTCTTTATTCAAAGAAGTTTGTGTCTAATAAAGTTGTTGAGCAGCCTATCCATGCTAGTTGCTAGCCTCTTCAATGATAACACCAGCTTATTCATGCTAGTAGCTAGCCTCTCCAATGCTAACACAAATGAATAGTCTCCTTATTTGCCAGTGCCGACCTCTCAGTTAGCGGTGCAGGTCTGTAATTAATCAGATCAATAGCTGCTTAGGAAATTATATAGCCTCCTGCTACAAGGATGTAGCAACCGCTTTTTGCGCAATAGTCTTAATTTTGGCCCTCTTACCTTGCCATACGTCCACACCAAATTATAGCTCATACAGTGTTTGCAACAAAACACACAGGCTGTGGAGATCACATTAACTCAGATTGATTCCTAAAGTTAATCAGTTGTAGTTGTAAAGAAAAAGATCCCAGTTTTCATCAAATACATACATACATACATACATACATATATATATGTATGTATGTATGTATCAACTTTTCTGCGAATTAGAGGAAGTTTTTTTGAATCAAG